AGTGATATTTTTGCAAATGGACACCCCTAAGTGACATTCTTATAAATGTACACATCAAAAATGATATTTTTGCAATTGTCCCTATTGAATTTTGGTAACTGATATATCAAAAACATCCATCTGTCTACAATATTCATTTACATACATTATGAATTATTAGTACATCAATCAATGATATATATGATTTATTTTTATAACCAGATCAATATCATATATCTAACACATTTATCAAAAAAACGGTTATCATAAACAGTCATATGTCGTACAAATTAGATATAAATATTTTCATAGTAACTCTTTTTGTCCACGCTACACAACATAGCAATAAGGTAAGCTTTTTGTGATAAGCTTACCATATTTCAAGTTTGTGAAAGGAGAGATTCATTCACAAAAGTGATTCATACATATTCTAATCCCGGATCCAAGGCATGTACATAAATCAATAATACCTAAAAACTTCTGAGATTTAAAAGAGAACTAAACACGGAAAGGCAAAAGAGAAAGCAATTTAAGATTCTAAGGTGGTGGCTTCTTCCTTTCTCTCGGAGAAAAAAGAAAACAAAAGATGAAATGAAACCAGAGAGGCAATAAAGTTTGGGTGATCTTTACTATCAATCAAGCTGTCTTGGATTCTAAAGGAAACAATGACCAATTTTGTATGCTTTAGCCTTTATGTTTAGACTGATTAAGACTTAACTATGGTTTGTCTTAGATTATATTCCACTTGATTTTGACTAGATGACGTTTTTGTTGAATGCACATTTATTAGAAACATTTGCAAAATCAATTTAATAATCTATGTTATAATTAACGAGCAGTAAAATATTGTAAGTATAAATAAGTAAATTATTTGACTTCTTGTTTTTTTTTAAAAAGAGATTAAAAGCTAAACTAATTTGGAAAAAATAAAACGGTAAAACTTCAAGGAATATCATCAAAAGGTTTTCATAATTAACATAGTTCACGACAAATTTTCGTAAATAGAGAACAAGCATAAAATCGTTTATGATAAATGTAATTGGCCATTATGTAATTATAGTATATTGTTTATTTTTGTTAAAAGCGTACTCAAATGATAGTATATTGTTGCATTGCATGTTCGTTCTTCTAGCTTAAGCGCTTTTTCTTCTAACTTAAGTTAGTTTGTCTCTGCTTTTTGTTAGAAATATTGTAAAGGAAACCTGTTTTTAAAAAATAAAATAAAAAATCAATGCTCATTCGAGTTTTGGGTTAGTTTAGGGATATATTGTTTTCAGAATTTCAGGGGATACTCTTCTTTTGTAAGATTATTTTAGAAAATTTACTTCGTTAATTGTTTCTTAGAAATATCTTTTTTAGGTGAGTGACCAAATAAGTTTCAAATTCTATTTTCGTATTTGCTTTTTGGATCCAGACAGTACTACAATGATTAAATTATTTTCACGTAACAAAATAAATGTTTGGGTGCTATATATTCATATTTTTCTGGTTCGGGAGAAGACCATCTTATTGGTCATATTTCTTATAATACAATGAAGGACCTTAATTTGCACTCTTGCTTGGCAATTTCACGAATGTGCACCTATATGCATGAACTTAGGTCACACACTTAGAGAAATGGAAGAACGAGACAAAATGTAGATTGTAATTAACAACTAAAAAGACATACTAAAAATGTGGTAGCATAGTGGTAACACAAGAGGTTGATTCCTTTGAGTTCCAAGTTCAAATTCTATTATGGAGGGTTATTTTTTAAATCGGAATATCTAAATACTGACTCCGGATACTAGAAGAGATTATAAACCAAAAGTTAGAATTCCTACTATTTATAAAAAAAATTAAAAAAGACATTTTATCTTGAAATATGGACAACTACCCATGGTGGAAATGTTTTTCAAAAGAAAAAGAAAAGACCTAAATTCCGTTATAAAATTTAAAGTATATATCGACAATTTCTTTATAAAAAACTTTGTAAATACCGTTAGTTCCATCCAAATTAAGTGTCAACAAATTTGTTTTCCAGCCATTTTGGAATAACTTTTCCGCGAACATAAATTATCATTTACGACATAACATGATAATTTTACATT